TGTGCCGAAGCACAGCCTTTGCTCCCCCCAGCACCGCGAGGTCTGCATCCATTTCCGCAGCAGACAAGCCCCGGGTGGGAGCACACACGCTGAATGCTCTGTTCTCAGCGTCTCCTTCCCCGTGACGGGCCCACCTTCAGCACCACGCTCGGGCCTCTCTCTACCCTCATATTCCCTCCCCCGGGGGCAAGGCGCGCGTGTGAATGGCACGCTGCGGAAGAACGAGCTGGGCGTGTTGGAGTTAGTTCCTTCCTCCAGGAAGCACTAGAATCCCCCTCCTCCACTGCACCCCACCCGGGCCTGGGGGAGGCCTGCCCTGGCCCAACACCACGGTCACTCTTCACCCTCAGCGAGTGTCAAGTAGCCTTCATCAAAAGATGCAGCTTTTGGCTTCTGTCCACTGACACCGTGTCTTAGTTTACCATTTGTTTAAAACCTGAGGAAGAATGGTGCTATTATCTGACCTCCTTTATTCTGAGAAGGCCCGCGAGGCTGTCAGAATCTCCTAGGACAGGCAGATGTCATCTGAAAAAGCCACTCAACACACACGTAATGCCAAGGTATGGAATTAGAGAAGGCTGAGGATAGAACCCGAATGTCGACATTTAAGTGAGGGCAAAAGAGGGATTTGATTCTAAAGGGCAACAGGCAGAGTACACAGAGCATGCGCCGTCAGAGGCTGTCATCTTAAAGGGACGATGGTCTTCACGCGCAGAAAACACGGCAACCCTCCTGTGTGTGCAGGGCAACAACACTGTAGGGCAGCTCACAAACGGCTTCAGCTGTCTTAGAGCTCCTCCTGTCCAAGGTTCTAGAACCCAAGGCTGGGCCATGCTACTGGCGAGCTTCCAAGGACTGGTATTTAGTAACGAAACTTTGGGACATTATCACCCTCCACTGTTCCTTTTTTTTTTTTTTTGAAAGATTGATTGATTTCAGAGAGAGAGAGGAAACACAAGCAGGGGCAGTGGGAGCGGGAGAAGCAAGCTTCCTGCTGAGCAGGGAGCCCGATGCGGGGCTCGATCCCAGGATCCTGGGGTCATGACCTGAGCAGAAGGCAGACCCTTAACGACTGAGCCATCCAGGCGCCCCCCTCCTCTGTTCCTTCAGCAGTGATTCTCAAGAGTATGAAGATGGATCAGCAATGCATTGTGTTGTCTTATCTTTTGGAGAACTAATATTGAAAATGTGATGTGTAGGGCCCCCCGGGGGGCTCAATGGGTCAAACGTCTGCCTTCAGCTCAGGTCATGATCCCAGACTCCCTGTTGGGCTCCCTGCTCTGCTGGGAGTCTGCTTCTCCCTCTGCCTCTACCCCTCCCCCCTGCTTGTGCTCTCTCTAATAAAATCTTTTAAAAATAACTTTAAAAAATGTGATGTGTAAACTTAAATCTCTTTAAAATTCAATAAAAACCTCACGCCTATTAGGTTTATCACAAGAAACACTAGTACTTTGATCTATTTGGGTAACTCTCCTAAGGGTGGTAGGAGCCCCTGGTGTTTCTTTTTTTTTATTTTATTATGTTAGTCACCACACATTACATCATTAGTTTTTGATGTAGTGTTCCATGACTCATTGTTTGCGTATAACACCCAGTGCTCCACGCAGAACGTGTCCTCCTTAATACCCATCACCGGGCTCACCCATCCCCCCACGCCCCACCCCACCCCGCCCCTGGTGTTTCTTGCCTTGGCCAGTGCCTTGGGGCTCCCTGTCCCCTGAGACCAGGAAGCACACCATCTGCTGAGCTGCACACACACTGACCACCCATCAGACATGCCTCCTGTTGTGCTGCTACAGGGGACTGCCTGCCTTTTCAAACAATGTGAATTAGAAGAGTATTTCCCTAATTACAGAAATAAATTCACTTTAGAAAACCAGAAAAATACAGTAAAGTATAAAATCAATAAAAATTACTCATGATTCCAACTTCCTGTAATAATGAATATTAATATTTTGGAGTATTTTCTATTTCCACATATACTTTTTTTTAAAGATTTACTTGAGAGAGAGAACATGAGTGGGGGCGGGGGGGATAGGGGGAGAGAGAGAGAATCTCAAGTAGACTCCGCACAAAGTACAGAGCCCCACTTGGGGCTCCATCTCCCCACCCTGAGATCACGACCTGAGCCAAAACCAAGAGTCAGACACTTAACCAACTGAGCCACCCAGGCGCCCCAACATATACTTTTCAAAAAAATAAAATTGAGATTAGTTCTTTACTCTGCTTTTTCTATTTAACATATTGTGAACAATTCTCAATGGTTATTCTTCAAAAACATGATTTTTTAATGGCTAAATAATGTGCCATTTGATGAATCTACATACCATCATTTAACCATGCCCATTACACATGTGGAACTGTTACACATTTTCTCTATGATTAAGAACACTGCAGCGAGCATGTCTAATGATTTCCTTAAGGCAAATTCCTAAGAGCAGAGTCACTGAATCAAAGAACCCACTGACATTAAATACATATTAACTGGAATGTCAGTTCTCTGTTCCCAGGTGCAAAGCTTACAGGCTATGGTTAAGGCCAAAATAAGTTACCTTGAGAGTAAGGCTCAAAAGGCAACACTGACGATCCTAGCAGTGTCCTGAACAAGTCAATTTAAAATTTAAATAAAATCAAATAAATGATGACCCTAGGAGTTATAGGCTAACTGGGGGGGAAAGGAGAGGATGAAGAGGGAAAATGAGGAGAAAGCTGGGGGGTGGGGGGAGAGAGGTGCTTGTGTGCATTTTATGGTGGAGAGAGGGAGCTACTGAAATTCCCACTATGAGAAAGCACCACGCACTGCTCTATCCTAGAACACCTCGCATGGCTTTCCTTCCTGGACTACTGGACTCCAAGATGTCTGCGGTTACTGCTACAAGGATTAAGATTATGTCCTACACGGTGACCGCTCCGTAAGCTCCAGGATGGTGCCCGTCTCTCTGCTACAAGTTGCACACCACAGAAGAGCGCGCATGTGCAGCACCAGCCCGCCCGCCCCAGCGCCCCACCAGCGCTTGGGCTGCAGATGAGGTTCTGCCGGTAACAGGCAACTAGCCACAGATGTCAGCAGGACAAAATGAACTTGTTGTGTACTCCTCGCACTCCCTTTTCCTTTCCTGTGGTACTTTAGCTCCTGTAATGGTGGTTCAACCCACAAAGATAATGAGAAAATCAAATTACATCGTATCTTTTCCAACATAAGGAGTTCCCCTTATTCCCCCCCCACCCAGTAAAGATAATCTTTGGTGGGGGCGGGAATATCTTGCAGCACTAACATTTTTCAAAAAGCAACCATCGTGTCTAGTTGTTTTTAAGATGACTCATTTGGAAACTGAGCAAGAATCTGAACAGGCAAATCAGAGAATTATAAATGATCAGTAAATACATGAAAACAGCTCCATCTCACCGGCAATTAGGAAAATACAAATTAAAATAAGATACCATTTTTCATTTCTAAGACTGGTAAGAATTTTGAAGTTTGAGGACATTCAAAGCTATCGAGGATGTAGAAAATGGGCACTCTTGGCCACCAATGGTAGAAATATAACTTGGTATAAAATTTCTGAAGGACAATTTTGTACTACTTATCAAATGCACATGCCTTATGATTTAGCAATCTCTTAAATTGAGTTAAAATGAAATAGAATTAAAAATTGAGTTCTTCCAGAGCTCCCAGCTGGCTTGGTTGGTACAGCATATGACTCTTTCTTGATCTTGGGGTTGTGAGTTCAAGCCCCTTGTCGGGTGTAGAGATTACTTAAAAAAAAATTTTTTTTTTTTTTAGTTCTTCCATTGCCCTAGTTACATTTCAAGTGCTCAACAGCCACATGTGTCTAGTGGCTACAATACGAGGCAATGCAGACAGATCAGTTTCATCATCAGAGAAAGATCTACTGGGCAACACCGCTATGGAAATATTTACAGAAGTGGACAAAGGTATTCAATGCAGCATTGTTTATAAAGCAAAATCGCAATACAGTAAAAGAATAGTTAATATCTTTATAAGTCAAGTAGAATAAAAAAATGTGAGGCAGATCTATATGAACAAACAGAAGGAAGACTGCGACACATCAAATTTAAACATATATAGCGGGGCACCTGGCTGGCTCAGCTGGTTGGAGCATGTGACTCTTGATCTCAGGGTTGTAAGTTCAAGCCCCATGTTGGGTATAGAAGTGACTTAAAAATCTTTAAAAAAATAAAATAAAAATAAAAGTATATTGCAAAACAAGATGCGATTTTCACATTTTATAAAGATATTTATGTAATCTCTAAAGACATTGAAAAATATTTGTAAGGATATATACATCAAACTGCTAGAGATAGTAGGAAGAGGGACTGGAGAGAGGAATGAGAATTTTTACTTTTTGTGTGTGTCTGAATTTGTTGCAACCAGCATATATTGTTTTTAGAAAAACATTTCAAAAAGAGTTCTATTTTTTTGAAAGGAAGCTATTTACCAGTAAGCCCTGAAGGTATCACAGCCTACTCATTTCTTTTCTAAGCTGAGATCTCCATTCTCTGGTTATCATTTCCCTACACGCAGTACTTGAAAGCACTTTCCTGAGGCCCTGAGGGGAGCCGCAGATGGGCCTCGTCCAGCACGCGCGCGGGGGGGGGCCCTCCTGACGACCTCGCCCCCACAGCATTTCCTCAACTCTACTCTTCCCTTCGCCCGTCCTTCTGCCCACTCCCCTCCCCCCCACTCTTCCTCAGCCACTCACACAACTACCAGCATGACCCTGCTCTGCCACAGTGCAGGAGGAAGCAAGCCCCCCAACAGATGCGCCTCTGCCCAGCGGAGCACAACTCCTGGTTTCACTCCTCGACCTGAGTGCAGAAGAGCAGGGTGATAAACCAGAGTGGGAGGGACAAGCAAGGGCACAGAGTGTCAGACATTACCACTTTAGATACAAATCCCACCCACCACTGAGGAGAGTATTTTTCAAAACAAAACCAATCACACCAAATATAAGAAAACCACCACTAGCAAGTCAGATGAGCGATTATGTTCCAAATGTGATGGGTTTATTTTATTTTACTCTGATGCAAAACCAAAGATTCCACTACAGCACAGAGACCAATATATTAAAAGGTCACGAAAAAGTGGTGTGGGACATGCAGGACGTGATGTACAAACTGGAGGATCGGGTCATTTCCTTTATAACATGACACTACAATGTCGCTGAGGAACACATTTAAAATAACACTGCGGAACTCAACTGAAATGTGGCACAAACATGACAACTTCCAGGCATGCCTTCAAGTACCTCTCTTAGGATGGACTTGCGATCTCTAGAGTTCAGTGTGGGGAGGATTACAATTCTTTGGAAGAATAAAAAGTTCACACTTTTGAAATTTCACAGAATTTTAAGGCCAAAACATAGTGGGTTCTCTTCACCTCCAGGGACAAATCGGATGCTTTACCCAAAACCACATTAAGCTTCTAGTTCAAATCCCAACCCAACCTTGTGACCTCCTGCATTGAAGTTCTTTCCATCGATTAAAGCTGATAGGGTCAGTTTGACACCTAGGAAGAAGAAAACACCACAATCACTCATAACAAGTATTATAATCAGATCTTCATTTTCTAGAAACAATAGACGGAGTCAAGGGCACAGATTACAGCTGGGTGTAAGAGTTACAAGCATTCAGGTACGACTAAGTCAACACTGGGTTATCTATAATCATCTGATCTGCAATGAGCAAAGCATAATCACAGCAAACTTCATCTGGAGTTCAGGGTTAAGAATAATGAGTGATCAACCAAACTCACAAGCCAGAGTGACCAAATTATAGTAAGAAATATAAAAATACTTTTTAAGCAAAAGCACTTGATCTGTTTTACTTTGTACGAACAACTGTGACAAAATGGTCTGAACTGACCTATAGTTGGTTGTAGGTTTTATAGGTTATTTTCATTATTCCTCCATTACCTCCTACCCACGCCCATTGTTATTAATTCCTTTACTCACCAGGTCGAAGGATCTGAGTATAACCCAGTCCAATCAGGCTGGCATTATTTACTTTAGCCTAAGGTTAGGAGATGAAATAGAAACAGTTAGGAAACAATCACCTTCATAATATGTAAGTCCAGTACAACCACTATTTCATGCATCAGATTTCCAAAACTAAAGCAACTTCGGGCCAATCTAGAACTACCAAAACTGAAAATTTAATTGTAAAAAGTAAGTCTCTTCAGTTAATAGGACTGGTAGTATGGATAGGAGCGTCCTCAAGAATGCATGCTTTAAGGCCTCAAGCAAAATTTTTAAAATACTGTGCAACCAAATGCCCTAGGTGTACTGAATTTTTTGAGATGTCAGTTTACAACCTCTGACAGTGGTTAGAACATGAACTCTGGTGAGAGAAGATCTGGATTCCAAGACTTTGGGCAAGTTACCTGACCTCTCCAAGTCTCAGTTCCCTCATCTATAAAATGGGCATGAGTATACTACTCACCACATGGAGTAGTTGGGAGGATTAAATGAGATATTACACATTAAGCCCTTAGCACAGTACCTGAAATTTAAGAGCTCAATTAGTGTCATTATTAATAAGAATTACTAATAGCAACAGGAATAGTAATCAAATCCCATGAATTTACAGATAAGAAAATTTTGAGGCCAAAGAGATAAAATGACTCCAGAAGGTCAGACAACAGCCAAATATAGGAGGAACTCGGACTAGAATCCACGAGCCCAAACCCCAACCAAAACACGCGACCCACTACACAAAAACTAGCTCAATAAAGTAAAGAAAAAACAGGCACACAAAAACCAAATCAAAGCGTCTGTGTATAACCCAGTTCAAACACAATGTTATAACACATTTTAGCAGATAGAGAAGTTCTACAATCCAGCTTGTATTTAGCAGCGATGCCAAAACGGGTATTGTTACTGCCAGCCGTCCAAGCAAGATTTATTGACGTTTCAATCTTCTCGTTAACCTTCTGGTAGATAGACCCTCCAAATTCAGTGCCATCATTCCTATTTTCATGGTACAAGAAAAGTCATAAATACCTAGGTTTGTACTACTCTTATGAAAATAAATGCTAAGACTGTTTAAACAAGGACCTCATTTTGCAACTATCTATTTCAGCAAACTTCTAGTATAAACAACTACCAAACAAAACAAGCAACTAAATCCAGTTATGTAATTTATAACTGGCTAATTAAAATGTAATTAACTGATTCATTTACTGAGCTCCCCACAATGTAAATTTCTTAGACATAATTCAGTTATGCACAAAGACAGATACCTCAGGTAAATATAACCTAGGTCTTTGAGATGTTCAAAGAATTTAGAACCCTAAAAGTATAGTTCAATAAAGATTTCTGCAAAACAAAAAATACAGTACAAGAAAAAAGCCAATCCTGGATTTCATTTGAAACAACCCTAGAGTCAGAAAGCACCACCCCCACAATACCTAGGGTGTACTGCTCTAGAGAAGTGCCTAAATTATTGCTTCAAAGCATCCCAGAACTTAAGAGTCCCTGAGTTTTCATGGTTTTCCTGATCATACTGTTTCACCGATTTTAATGCCACTGTCTAGGCCACTGCTTGACTTTATTTCAGGCATCACATTGAACTGGAATGTCTAGTAGAGAGCAATCTACAACACTTCGAAAACACAGAATTCTTCCTTTGCCTTTTTTTTTTCCCCCAGTATACTAACAGTGCTCAGTAGGCCAAGACATAAGCTATAATTTAAAAGTTCAAATTCATGGGGCGCCTGGCTGGCTCAGTTGGTTAAGCGACTGCCTTCGGCTCAGGTCATGATCCTGGAGTCCCGGGACCGAGTCCCGCATCGGGCTCCCTGCTCAGTGGGGAGTCTGCTTCTCCCTCTGACCCTCCCCCATCTCATGTGCGCTCTCTCTCTCATTCTCTTTCAAATAAATAAATAAAATCTTTTAAAAAAAAAAGTTCAAATTCATTTAACCAATAAGATGCAGGCTACAGAACTGAATCCAGGATTGCTTTGAGGACTTCTGCTTCTTCTGAATGCAATAGGGGTGGCTGGGTTGTGACCAAGGGTCCCCAAAAACCTCCGCAGAATCACTGGGGATGGTCCAGGATGCTTAGATCAATAGGTGGTTGCTCTTCATGATCCAGACTGGCTTCCAGATACTGCCAAGCTGAGTAAGGCACCAAAGGAAGCAGAAATATCTCCAAAGGATCCCTTTTATCAGGAGGTAACCTATGCCCGGGCTCTCTCCATCCCAATGGTTCTTGTACAGACTCTAGACCTTCCTAAAGTTTGGGGTACTGACTGAGAGGCCAGTAACTACCAGTAGCCCAGCACAATGCACCAAGTGCATTAACCTCTGGCAATGTTTTGCTGACTCAGAAAATAGTAGAGTGCGGCTGGATGTCCACCAAAGCATATTAAATGCAAGTACGATCATTTCTAACCTCAACAGGCTAATGGCTACCACCTTTTTGGACGACTGCACCAGTGCTAAAGGCGGAATAAATTATAAACACTCACACATGAGTGTGCAGCTGGAAGTCTGCAGCCTTATAACCCAGGGCAAAATTATTCTGTGACAGTTTGGATTTGGCTGTGTCAAAACTCATCTGATAGCCAGCAAGCCAACCCTCAAAGGCTAACACAGCCCAGCCATAGATGGTTGGTCCAGAAAAATCTATATCAACATTACTGCCAAGACTGAAACAATCCCGTTTATAAGAGGCCTTCAATTTTCCACTCTTCTTTCTGTAAGAAATAAAAACAACACAATGAAAACAACATGAGTTTCTACTACTGTCCAGAAATCTTCAGAGTAAGATACCCTCTCTCCCCCAACGTAAATACGATTTTGGTAGATGGCATACATATAGTAAAGTTTCAAATGACTTAACTCTACAAATATAGTTTTGTTAGGATTAGAAATGCATATACTGGGGTGCCTGGGTGGCTCAGTCAGTAAAGCGTTTGATTCGGCTCAGGTCATGATCCTGGGGTCCCTGCTCAGCGGGGAGTCTGCTTTCCCTGCCACTGTACTGTCTCTCGTGCACTCTCAAATAAATAAAATCTTTAAAAAAAAAAAAAAAAAAGAAACGCATATACTATTTTTACCTTTTCTTCACTGTAAGTTCAACTGACAGGATATTTCATGATTAATATCATGAAGGCATGAACAAAAGTATAAAAAGGAATAAGCTATTTCAGTACGAAATTAATAACCTGAATATGTATTTATTCATGAGAACCCAAATTTCTTTAAATGTTTTTATAAATGCCCAAATGCTACAAAACGTTAACACCTGACATACTTCACTTCTAAGTTATTAACCTATCATGAAGAGAAGTGTATTTTTTTTTTTTTAAGGATACAGTCCTTTGGTAAACATATTTATTTTCCTTAGGGTCACTATTTTCTCCCTGGACAACATTAGATGGATGGAAGAGAAGTGTACACTTTTGAAAGACAGTACTGAAAACATGAAATTGGTCTTAATCACCCTTGTCCTATTTAATCAGGCTTCTGAGAATATTTGTCTGGAAGGTAACTAAGTGGGTGGCAGGAATGACACACGTTGTTACAGCTAAGGAAAAATGACACTTTGACTTTTTTCTAGCACCAACCCGTGTGAGACAGATAGGGAACAACATGATCCCCATTTTTTAGACAAAGAAACTGAAGCGGAGAGGTTAGGAGATTTCTAAAGGCTAAGAAAGCACATCAGTAGCAGAACTACTGCTTATAGTGTTCCACAGCCAGATTACACTGTTTTCTTAAGAAATGAACTTCTCAGGGGCACCTGGGTGGCTCAGAGAGTTGAGTGTCCGACTCTTGATTTCAGCTCAGGTCAGGATTCAGAGTCCTGGGATAAAGCCCCACGCCTAGCTCCGCACTTAGAGGGGAATCTGCTTCTCCCTCCCTCTCCCTCTGTCCCTCCCCCTGCTCTCTCTCTAATAAATAAATCTTTAAAAAAAGAAAAAGAAATTAACTTCTCAGCAAAATACCACATCCATGAATCTTTAGAATAGCTTAAGAATTATCTAGTCTTGGAATGCCTGGCTGGCTCAGTTGGTAGACCATGCAATTCTTGGTCACTGGGTTGTGAGTCTGAGCCCCACATTGGGTGTAGAGATTACTTAAAAATAAAATCTTTAAAAAAAAAAAAAAGAAAGAAAGAAGAAAAAGAAATATCTAGTCTCAAACCCTTCTAGCTCCTGAACCTTTCCTACTACATGCCTCTTTGGACTAGCTTTGTATTTTTGTTCATCTGTTCAATTTTCTAATCAAAACTTTACCCTGCTTCAAAGGAATCCTCCTTTCTCTTCACTAGACATACAAGGTCTCTCTAGTATTCCTAACAGCAACCTCCTAAGTTCTCCCTGCATCTAAACTTTTCATTGCAATTCCCTAGTCTAAAGCGCTCTCTCCCTACAGTCTACCAAAACATTTCAGAAAATAGGGTTTGGATAATTACCCTGTGTTCGGTACAAATATGGTATCAAGAGTCAGTTTCAACCCTTCAGCCAACTGAAAAACAAAAATTTAAAATAAACAATTAGTAATTTTCTTTTTTTGACCCAAGAAATCAATTTAAAGTTTTCTCTAACTTCCTAACCAAAAAAAAAAGGAGTCATTAAAGTAAGCCAAATATTAAGTTACTTACTAAATTACATCTTTATCCTTCCCCTCCCTCCTTACCCCAGGTTTCATCAGATTCTCTCACCAAAAACCAGGTTTAAATGTGTGGGCCAAATTCTATCACAGCCAATAACATTAATTACAGTAAAAAAACAACAAAATTCCAATACAACCAGGTAATCTTGATACTCTCTTGAAATTACTGTAATGAGATAACCTGACATTTAACAAACCAACCTAAGGAATTTATTCAGCTACACATATATGTTATCTACCTATGGTAGTGTGCATGTACACAGACCTCAAAAAACAGTGCCCTGTACACAGCAAATACTTAACAATTTTTCTCTCTGAAGACATTACAGAATTTAAAAACATTTTTCTATGGAGCCAATTTTGCAACGATTACAAAATAAAATCAAACTACCTCACTGTGAATAGTTTGGTTTACCCAGGGGAGGCTCAGTTACAATCAGAACTGGTCAGAACAAAGATGTAATGCGATAATTATGAACTCACACCTTTACTTTCTAGAAATCTAAGACATATCAAAGAAGGCCACATGCAGAGAAAAAATATGGCTACTATCTAGGTTATGAGATCTCATTCACACTGTATTTGGGGTTTACGGTTCATTTTATCTGCAAGATAAATTTAACCTACAAATAACTTCTAATGCTTTCTCTTACCTTATTCTCCAAAGAGATTTCTGTTCCGAGAGTATTGTCTGTGTTCCATTTCTGGGTGAAGGTAAGCCCATAGTTACAGACCTTATATTTGGTCTCTAGGTTGCCTGACGCTTTCCCTGTATCAGTGTAAGCATGACCAGAAGTAGAAAATTCCTGATAAGCAAGAAAAATAACTTTAAAATCAACTCATCAAACAGAAAATACTCATTTCAGAAAGTAGTGTTCAATGCATCAGAAACCAATAGTTTGTTACAACTTTCCTGCTTTCTCATTTCTAAAGTTTAACCAGTTTCAGATCTTTCCATTATTCCATCTCTTTTACTAATACTTCTTGTTCCATATACTCTCTTACTAAAATGGGAATCTTAAATTCTCTCCTTTGAAAGAAAAATATCTTTACTGAAAATAAATGCCTTTACTAAAAAGACAAAAATATTGAATCATAAACATTTTACTTTCATGACCTGAAAAAAAATTATTCATTCTCTATCATATCTTTCAAGCTATTAGTTAATTTTAAAATCCTTAAAAATCCCCAAACACTAGAAAGGACTACACCTACCCTCTTTTTTGTTGGTTTTTTTTTAAGATTTTATTTATTTATTTGAGAGGAGAGAGAGTACGTGAGCATGCAAGAGCAGGGGGCAGGAGAAGCAGACTCCCCACTGAGCAGGGAGCCCCACGTGGGGCTCAATCCCAGGACCCAGGGATCATGACCTGAGGCGAAGGCAGACGCTTAACGGAGCCACCCAGACGCCCCAGCCCTACCCTCTTTCAACAGAACTTCAGTGCATTTAAAAACTTTAATTTTTTTGTGGTAAAATACACCTAACATAAAATTTACCATTTTTAAGTGTGCAGTTTAGTAGCATTAAGTACAGTTACACTATCAGAAAAACTTTATTGCTTTGGTCCACAAAACTATCAGTAAAATTTTTGATATAAACAATCTCAATATTTGAAAGTATGTACCCATTTTTCCAAACAAAATGGAATGGTATAAATTATCTCTTTCTTCCTTCTCCCCATCTACCTTTTAAAGTGCTTTCTATCAAACAGTGACCATGAACACCTTAAAACATATCCTCCTCCCTAGGTAGGTGTCCTTTCAGTCATATGACACTGAGCAATAGGAAACAGATCTCCCTCTAAAAGGAAGCCAACAGTCAACACCTGTCACTGACAATCTATGAACTGTCAAGAAAAAAAACCCTTCTGATTGGCCCTGTTTTTAGAGAACACTTCTGAACTACTGCCAACAGTCATGAAATGCTGCCAGCCCTGAGCAGTTCTGTTTCACTGCCCGCAGTATGAATCCTCCCTTTACCAAACAGCCTGCTCCTTACCTCTAGGCTCTACATGCTGATGAAACAATTGGGAATCTATGATCTGTTTATCAACACCATGCAGGAAGTTTTCCAAGAGAGTATCATGCTGCACATTTTAGGGTAAGGCTCAGTACAAAATGACAAACGCTAGTCATGTTTAATAGTCCACACGATTATTTAATGCAAGCAATGCTTTCTTTTAGTAGATCCAACTATCCAGTGTTTTATTTTTTACATATACCTCTCATAAACTTGAAAGTATAGCACAGATAAACCTCATTTTTAGTGTTAGGAAAACTTCACACACAAAACTAAGGTAAAAGTGTATTTAGTCTGCATTTTTTCCTTGTCACCATCATTTCTTAGTTTGAAGCTCTCTCAAAAGTCTAAAATACCAGACGTACAAATCTTTAAGGCCAGAATTTTTCTAAGTTAAAAAGTTTAACTGGCTCACAATTGCTTTAGTTTTTCTCTAACTTCACCATTAGATCAAACAGTACAAAATACATTTATAATGTGCATATAACATCTATAGCTCTACAGTAAAGGCTAGTAAGCAACAAAACCACCATAAAAATGTTACTGTTAAACAGATGGCATATGACAAAAATATTAAGTGCAATCTAAGAACTGATTGGAGCAATGGATGAAATTTATCTTAAATCAATACCAGAGACCAAAAGCAGCCATAAAAACAAGCACACAAATATGCTCTATTTTTCTTACCATCTGAATGAACAGTCCCACACCACAGCAGCATGGAAGGGAGATAAAATTTTAGCCGATGATTTTTACAACATAAACCTAATTTGACCAAATTCTGAAACCCTATTCAAAGTGAGTATAATTTTTCTATTTTAACAAAACCATATAACAATATGCCCATCCTAGTAGTAGCTGCATATATATTTATTTACCACTAGAAAAACCCAGGGAAAAAATGATAATGACAAACCAGGAGTATGAAACAAAGTATCATACAAATTCCACATTCTTTTAGCTCCTCTAATTTAAGTATTATACCTGGAAATAAAATTAGCACTGGTTTAAATAGGTAAGTACCAAGAAAAGCAGAAATCAGAGAATGAGGTGAATGTAAAGTTAATCTATTTACCAGACTTACTGAATAAAAGTTCTGGTTAATGACACTTTGAAAATATGTCTATATCCTTTACTATATTCTTAACTTCCAGTAAAAAAGACTTCATGAACATCCAATAAAAACTGTAGATTAATCCTTTACATGCATTTTTAGTTTTACATTTGTTTTGATCAATCATGAAGGGATAGACTAAAATCAATTTGTTTTTGTAAGAGGGCAATAAAACTTACATGAGCCCATTATAATGGAAGTAAAGTTTTTAGTACCCATATATGTACTCATGAAAGTATAAAGATATGATATGGGTCAAAAAAATACAGGTATTTTATATCTCCTGAGAGTAAGACTCAGCATATTCTTATCATGAGGGGGGAGAATTCTTATTATTCTTATTATGAGAACCTTTGTTCTCCCCCAAAATTCAACCTGATTATCTAGGGCTAAGGGGAAGATACTCACTGAAATCTGAGAGTATGACAAAACTGTAGGGAAGGCAGCACAGTGCCAAATGTACAGACTCACGGAACTAGACTAAACAATTTTTTAACAGGTTCCTTTAAGTTAATTATGCTACATCTATTAAAATTATATTGGGTACTCACCACTCCACTACAGGACTTGGTTTTCAGATCTATTTTAACCATGCCAAATCCTAGACAAACAGAAAAACACAGTAATGTACAAAATGTGATTTCACTCCAGTTTTTACAACTTAGAGATTATGAAAACAGTCCTTGTACCTTCCATATGGAAAATACACAGTATCCTCGTTAGGTGAGAGTTCCATTAAAAACTGAATTACAATGAAATAAGTATAATTTTTAGACTCTCAAAAAACAAAAATTATCAGAAAACATTATGCTTATGTAAGTATAAACTTAAATAATTATACTAGTTAATAAGAAAAATCAAATGTAGGGGCGCCTGGGTGGCTCAGTCGTTAAGCATCTGCCTTCGGCTCAGGTCATGATCCCAGGGTTCTGGGGTAGGGCCCCACATCGGGCTCCCTGCTCTGTAGGAAGCATGCTACTCCCTCTCCCACTCCGCCTGCTTATGTTCCCTCTCTCTCTCTGTGTGTCTCTGTCAAATAAATAAAATCTTAAAAAAAAAAAAAGAAAAATCAAATGTATATAGCACAAAAATTAAAAGATTAAGTTTTTTAAAAACCAAAAATAAATGTCCATTTGGGATCAAGAATATGTTACTCCAAAGAAGTCAAAAGTTGTGTCTTCACGCATTGCCATTATTTGGAGGAGGAAAAATGTATCCCCCACTTTAACTAGGGCTAGCCAGAGGAGACAGAAGTATTACAGATTTCTATTACTTCATCTTACAGATAACATTAAATATGCAAATGTATATGCATGCATATACGTATATAATTGCTTTTAATGCTTGTAAGGCAGGCACTCTACCTCTAAAGAGTCAAGTCTAATAATCTGTTGATAGTTATCCCCTTAAATCTTGTGAAGTAGATTAATGTTAACCTCATTTTACTAGCACTGCATCTTGCATATAGTAATAAGCATTCAACACTAACCCTTACCCCAAATTGGAAATGTACAGTAGCATACTTACCATATCCTTTATTGAAGACATCCTTGGCGGCCTTTCCTAGGTCACAGTAAGTCGGTGTGTTACACATATCTTATAAAGAAAAATAAGGACAAAGGAATAAAAACAGCCATTTAGTATTTATTCACCCACAGTCCTCGTATTCAGTCCTGTGAGAAGAGGTATACAGTTTTCTCTTCCTTTGCATCATTAATGCTTATACCCTAATGCAAGCAAAGTTAGGAGAAGGCATTCTGCTTCTTTACAAAGAACTTTCCGGAATACTGGATAATAAAAGGGTTGTTTTCATGAGATTCACAGAGATTATCTTTCTGACTGCATTTCAAAGAAAAGAAATTTCTCACAGGGTGAAGGAGATGCTTTGTTAAATTGGGACTTTTTACTTAAAAAAAAAAAATATATATATATATATATATGCAAACTTTACACTGGAAAAAACATTTCTTGGGCTGTTATAAAGCCAAGAGCTACTAAAGTGATAAGGTAAAATTGTTTTGAAGAACTGTAAGAATAGATGCATTAAAAATCTTCAGGGTTAACATTTTTGCCACTGTGAAATTCAGCTTTTAAAGTAAGAATTACCATACTAATTGGAATGCACTCATCCAGAATATGTCCTCTCTCAAAGCTCTTTTAAAAATAAAATTATATACTCTTACCCATTAGCCACAAACAGGATAAATTCTACCTGCAGTAATTCTGTTTATCAAAAATTGGTGTATACTCTAAAGTTAAAGCCTTCAAAAACCAAAGGTGCCTTCACTTTTCACCTTACCTACTTGGTATTCACACAGCTTTTCTACTGCCGATCTGGCTCTCACATTAAAGTTCTCAGAAGCTCTATCTACATAGATAAACATACCACCCCTCTGCCCTCTTTGTATAATGGGAAATCTCTTCCTGCAGCAGCCTCAACAGCCATGGCTAACCAACTGTAGAACCATCTCAAGCAGTCCCATTCACCCAATACCAGAAAAATCCAGAGCACCAGCTATCCCATGCAACTACTATGCCTAAACTATCTACACAATCAAACTAATATTTACTTATATTTAGCCTGGCTCTTAATCTACCCTTCTGCTAAGTTTCTGCCTAAACCATTACATCTGAACACAACACATGCTTATGATGCACTTTTTAATTGTGAATTCATTTAAAATTTGTTCCTTGGGGCGACTGGGTGGCTCAGTCGTTAAGCGTCTGCCTTCGGCTCAGGTCATGATCCCAGGGTCCTGGGATCGAGCCCCGTGTCAGGCTCCCTGCTTGGCGGGAAGCCTGCTTCTCCTCCCACTCCCCCTGCTTGTGTTCCTTCTCTCGCTGTCTCTCTGTCAAATAAATAAATAAAATCCTTAAAAATAAAAAATAAATAAAATTTGTCCCTTAACCTAAACCTGTCAAATATGACAAACATTATATATTAAGAGGGCAGGGTATAATATAAAATACGTATCTAAAGAGGAAAGAGTATAGTAAAGGTGAAGGAGTGAGTATAAATGTACTGACTCATACGATAATAAAACTTTGTCCTAAGCCAGGGTTTCAGAGTTCACTTCCAGGGCAATTCTTTTACAATTCAATTCCCTGCATTTAAATGATCCATTCTAGAATTGCCAACTGCAATTTGATACTACTCTTTATTATTTCCACCGATGCTGGTATCTGATGAAATGTGCCAGAAGTCTAAATTTGAGGTCGGTATAGAAAGGCAGGCACTATATATTCAAATAAAAATGTTAAGCCTTTACAGTCTGGATTTTCATCTACTGACAGGAGAAAAGAATACGCTTAACTGTTTAGAAACATCCATCTAATGACAGTCTTTTAGCATTTTGCTTTATTTTTTCAAAACCACTGCTAGACACTTTGCAAAAGTGTAGCCCGTTTAGTTTACTGACTGACCTCAATTCTGCCTAGTTCAAGCTTACTTTTTCAGGCCCATGATTCTGATGGGTAATGCACTGCTGGTATGATCAAGCAAAAAACAGAGAAGACACAGAGACTTCATGTCACTCGGGAGTAAAGTTCTCATCACATATTTCTATCAGCTTCACAAAATGCACTTGTTGTTCGTTGGCATGCATAACTACGAGGTTGCTTTAGATGCAGACAGGGGGAAAGGTTAATTAGGTAATACTGCTTTACACAATTACTAACTTGTCCGTAAAGAGCCCCTTTTGTTCCTCGTTTCGCCTTTTTCAGTTGCACGTACAGCATCCTCCCCTTGGCGATAAGGAGTGCTACAGAGCTCCCCCGATACTGGACAATTCCAGAGAGGACGCTAGGGGCGAGCGGGTGGGGGTGGGTTTGGGGTTCGAGGATCCAACTTCCCTAGAAACCAACCTCCTTTCTGGCCTGACGCCTAGAAAGAAAGTCCTGTGAGCCCACCAGGAAGGGAGAGGGTCAGGCTCGGCGCTCCGAGCGCCGCTCCCCACGCCGGCGTTGCGGCTCCATCACCTGAGGCGGCCAGGGGAGCAAGGTCCCCTCTGCTCTCCGCGGCCCGACCGGGCCCGCGCCCCGTTAGGCTCCTTCTCTCCCTTCCGAGCCCTCTGTTAGGCCCGCCTCCCGTTGGGTCTCCTGCTCGGTGGCGTACCGCCACCCACTCCGGCCCGCCCGGGCCGCCGGCCGCCCGGCTCACTGTCTCGGGTCCCCTCACCTCCAACCAGAGGGCCTGTCTCCGTTCCGCCAGGGCAACGCTGAAGGTCTTCTTCAAACCAACGCCGTCCGCGCCTGCGCGGCCTCACTCTCCCCGCGGCGCCTGCGCGCCCCTACCTGCCCCTCCCGCGCACGGCGTTTGCGCCGTAGTGTCGCGCCGGAGTCGCGCGCCGCGGGTCTGAGTGCCGAGAGGAACAGCTGGAGCGAACCCAACTGTCTGGCTCCGTGTGCGCGCGTGCGCGAGAGGGGTGGCAGGAGCGGGAGTTGACGTAGGAGAAGAGGCCTGGGGGACCGCACCTCCGTCCCTGAAGGGGCTCGTTCTCGCGATAACGCGCGGAGGTTACTAGTTACTGTTGCTATGGGAGGGGCTGCGGGCGAGGCGGGCGGAGAGGACCTGGGACGCAACTGATGGATGCTGTGGCCTGGCGCGTTTCGTTCAGATGCCGAGCAGATCTTTATGGGAATTTCATCTCCGACTGACTAAAATTCAAGAATGTGACCCTTAGGTTATCTCATCTTAAGGATGAGTAAACGGGACCCCCAGGGGTAAGTGGCGTGACTTATTCAAGATCACACAGGTAGCGATAGATTATAATTCAAAGGGAGGGAGGAGATGGAGGAGAGAAAGCTCTTCTTTAGAGAATACCAACTAATAAATATAGAAACTATAGAAAGAGAAAATCACCACTCTGGATCCACCAGTTTCAGGCAAAAATTATCAATAGATGCTAGACATTTGAAGATAGTCATACAGTTCCAAAGTATCAGCCTACAGATTCCTTACTGAAGAGAAAAAGAGTACCTTCACATCAAAGAAGTCACCCTTAACCAAGTAATCAAACTTAACTCACCAGGGATGGTACAGAGGACACAAAGGTATTATTCTTGCTAAAGGTGTGTCTCTCTTCATGAGGAAACAATCAGACAAATCCAAATTGAGGGACATTCTGCAAAACAACGGCTGGGTCTCTTCTAAAATGTAAATTTCATGAAAGATTAAGAAAAAGGCTAACGAACTGGTCTAGATTAAAGGAGACAAAAGAAAGGAATGGCACTGCAAGCAATGTGATCCTAAATTGAAACCTGGGTCAAAAAAACAAGAAACAGCTATTGAGAAACATTATTGGCATAATTGAGAAAATTTGACTTTATTATGTTACTATTGCAACAATGTATGGTTTTCTGATGTTTATATTCGTATCTTGGTTATGCAGAAATAGCCTTGTTTTTAGGAGATGTATGCTAAAATATTTAGGAGTGAGATAGCATGTATCTGCAACTAATTCAAATGGTTTAAAGAAAAGACAAAAAAATGTATAAAACTAACAATTGGTGATTCTAGGTGGAGGATATATGGGTGTTCATTGCATTATTCTTGAAACTTTCCTGTAGGTTTTATAGTTTTCAAAATAAGAGTTGGGGAGAAAACCCTACAAAGTTATTGATGTCCAGTCTACAAGGTGCTGCTTGAGTCAGTAGGCAGATATCATTATTTGCCTGGTGTGTGTAAGGCATTTCAGGCTAATAGACAAGTAAGATAAATGCTCCCAAAGGACTCATAATGTAGGACTTGGACAAATACCTGCTGGATGAGGCAGAATATGATAAATATAATAAGCAAAGCAGTATAACTTAGTAGGCTAAATAAAATGAGCTTTGGAGTCCAAAGAGGCTGAGTTTGTATCCTAGATGGGCCAACTCTTTGTTCTTAGGCAAGCAACTTAACTTTTCTATGCCTCAGTCTCTACCTCTGTGAAATAGAAATAAATAATATTTACGTCAAAGGATTGAGTGGATAGTAAATAAAATAAAGTATCTATAGCATGTAACAATCTACCTGCCATATGGAAAATGTTCATTAGTTAATAACAGATGAAAATGAATATGCTGTAAGAGTTTAAAAGTTATACAAAATTTTATGTGCACACACACACACACATATACACATATATGCACACGTACATATATTAGGGCCACACTTCAGCCTGTGCTTTGGCACAGACCCGGCCTGTGTCAGATACAGCAGGCCATTAAAGGCTATTATAAAGAGCACTTGAATGGGAATCTGGCAACATTCCTTCCCTCAGCTTCTGTTATCCAAAGATCTCTCTTCTGAAAGGACCTGACAACACCAGTCCTAGGTCATGTGGAGAGACTTTCTCAGGAAGGTATTGAAAGAAAGTGTTAAGGAAAACACCTGCCATCGAGGAGATCCTTCCTTTGCTTCATATCCCTCTGGCCCTGTCAACTTAGCCGGATCCAGGTTCATGCTCAATGTCCATAGCAAGACCCTGGCCTTGACCACCTTGAAACTACAGCCAGTTCTCATTCCCCCACTCGTACTGGGATCTAAACCCTTGGGACCTCCTCAGTCCAAATCCTAGTAAAATGGCATTCTTCTCCTATAAAGTCTCTAGAACCAGGATTTTAGAGCAGGGAAGGGATTTTAGACTCCTTCATGGGTGAGACATTTAAGTACTTTGTATGGGCAGGGCACCATGCTCAGAGCTGATGTAGGAGGAAACAGCCCTACGTGTCAGTGCTGTCTGGGTCCAGAGGCCCATGTCACCTTGAGGGTGAGCAGTTTCCCAGTACAAGTCACCTGCTGTAGTCAAGACAGCCTGCTGATCTGCCTCCATTACCTTTTTGAAAGAAAAATCTCAGAAGGTTAGTACAGTTTTACCCTCCCAAATGAAAAACAACTGAAGAGCAGAGGCCCCACTATGAAGATTTGGTAGTTCAATTACACTAACTATAAAAAATAAGATTCTGAAGCCAGCAGTATTATTTAATTTCCTGTTTCTTTTCATTAAAGCAAAAGGGCTCACTTGTTTGTTTTCAATGACTCCAAAATTCTGATGAGGGGTGAGGATCCCCTAGTTACTAAGCAGCTGAAGGAATCTTTGAAGAGGAGGAGGTGCAAACCATGTCTTTTGGCCTTCTACAGGGAGGCTGCAGGGCACAGAGGGACCCAGTGGTGAAAGCCCCTCAGTGTGCTGGGGGAAGGGACTGAAGGCTGCTCCCGAGGAAGTGATGTCTCAGAATGACTCAGGTGGACAGCAGGGGAACAGCTTCCAATGCAGGGGGGCAGAGTGATCAAAGATGTCAATACACCATACCCTGAAATTCCATCTCTAGGGGCTTGTCTCAAGGAAACAATCATGGATGTGTGCAAAGATTTCCCTTAAATAGCTTGAATGATTTAGAATAGCAAAATTTTAAAAACAATCAAAATGGTCAACATTTACAGGATTCACTAAATAAACTATAGTACAGTCATATTCGGGGTTATAGTACAGCCAAATGTTCCGATTAATATTTGATGATCTGAGGGAAGGTTCAATGAAAAACAAAGAGGAGGAAGCAAAAGTAAATACAGTGTAACCTCAAGCTGTGTGTGTGTGTGTTGTAATTTTACTTTTAAGAAGAAGCAATGGAGGGGCACCTGGATAACAGTCAGTTAAGCGTCTGCTTTCGGCTCAGGTCATGATCCCCGGATGGAGCCCTACATCTGGCTCCCTGCTCAGCAGGGGAGTCTGCCTCTCCCTCTCTCTCTCTGCCCCCCCCGTCAAATAAATATTTTTTGGTTTTATTTTTTTAAGATTTTATTTATTTATTTGTCAGAGAGAGAGCACAAGCAGAGGGAGCGGAAGGCTCCCCGCTGAGCAAGGAGCCCAATGTGGGACTCGATCCTAGGACCCAGTAAATAAAATCTTTAAAAGAAGAAACAATGGAATGATAACCAGAAACATCAGTGCTGGGGAGACAGGGCAACGGGTTGGAGGTGGTTCACATGGGGAGGTGTGGGCATTAGTAATGGCTAGTTCTGGAGCTGGTGATAGATTGATTATATTGTATATTAAATAAATAAATGCTATATGTATATGTGTATATGTACCTGCATAGAAAGAAATTGGGATAATTTACCAAAATTTGACAGTGACTGTCTCCGCTGAGTCAGAGTATACGTGACTTTTATTTTCTTCTTTACACTTTACTGTATTTTACAGAATTTTTAAATTTGGAAACATGTTTTTCAGTTATAATTAGAAAAGTTAAGGTCACTCTCATAAGGTGGGGAAGAACTGAGGTTTATGAGAGGGGGAAGTACTGTTCCATAGGGACTTTCCACCAAAAATTGGGAACCGCCTCTGGAATGGAGTACCTGGAATTTCCATTGGGCCTTCTGAGTGCCCACTTCACTTGACCACCAGAGGGCGCAAGAAATCAAAGTGAAAGCAAAGCTAAACCGGCTAGCGTGCACGGGGCTTGGGTTTGTGCCAGGGTGATGAACCCAGCCCTCCTCTTGCTCCCCGGGGGGCTTCATCCAAATTCTTCACAAGGTTTGAACACAGTTATGAATCCTACAGGATTGGATGGTGTGTCTAGGGGCTGCCCTACCAGAGTCAGGGTCTATGTTGAATGTCAAAAGGGCACCCTTAAATCTTTGCAAGTTGTCTTTGTGAGGAAACCAGTTTCGTCAATGTACCACATATAGATTAGGGGACAGCCTGGCTGACACAACCTTCAAGTTATTTCATCTTAACCACTATAATCACATTTCCAGAAAGGATAATTTAGGGGAAAGATGACATAGTCCTACGGTTGTATGTAACCCAAATATGGCAACAGGCAGTGTTCCCTGTGATTTTATTTCTCAGTGAATATATAGCTATGTTTCAAGTGATTTGACGTTTGGGGACTTCAGGTAGCAAGCAGTGTAGTGTGGCGTAGAGGAAAAAATAAACTTTGGAACCAGAAAACTGATGTTCAGGGGTGCCTGGGTGGCTCAGTCGTTAAGCGTCTGCCTTCGGCTCAGGTCATGGTCCCAGGGTCCTGGGATCGAGCCCCAGGTCAGGGCTCCCTGCTGCACGGGAGCCTGCTTCTCCCTCTCCCACTCCCCCTGCTTGTGTTCCCTCTTTTGCTGTGTCTCTCTCTGTCAGATAAATAAATAAAATCTTTAAAAAAAAAAAAAAAGAAAAGAAAACTGATGTTCAAATTCTACATTTACCTGCAACTCACTAGCTGTATGCTGGGGCAAATTACTTGACCTCTCTGAACCTCGGTGTCTTCATTTTTAAAATGGGGACCTCCAGAAGTAAACTCCT